GGATTTGGGCACAAGAAAGATACTCCGTTCTCTGGAGAGCTAGGCATTTGTTTACATGTGGCCCAGTGCTCTGTAGCCACTTATATGTGGGGGTATTTCCATTGAGTATAGGGAGCTGCGGTGGCTCAAGTGGTTAAGACGCTGAACTGCAGGCTGTGGAAGGTCGGTAGTTCAGCAGTTCGAGACCCGGGTGCCGCATGACGGAGTGAGCTCCCGTCTCTAGTTCCAGCTCCAAGCAGTTTGAAAGCAAGAAATTGCAAGTAGATAAATAGGTACCGCTTCAGTGGGAAGGTAACAGCGTTCCGTGTGCCTTGGTGTTTAGTCATGCCGGCCACATGACCACGGAAACGTCTTCGGACAGCGCTGGCTCTTCGGCTTTGAAACGGAGATGACCACCGCAACCCTAGAGTCGGATTCGACTAGCTTTCGAGCAAGGGAACCTATAGTCTGTGAGCTGGGAAATATGAGAAGCAGAAAGGCTCTGTGTCGGCGAGGCATGGACAGGCTTCAGTTTACATGGAATCCTGATGGCTGGTGAATAGTGGCAGCTAATAGCCTCTGCTGTGGGACAGTCAAGAGAGAGGGGAACTTCTGCTTTCAATGTAAACCATTGAAAGGCACCTCAGCAAGTAGGTAGTTGCTGACTGGCTAGCTGCTCTTGCTGACATCATCTGACTGCCCTAGAGGCAGCTAGCCAATCAGCAGTGACATGCTTGCTGAAGTGCCCTTACCTGTACCTCCAATGGCCTCCCTGAGGTGGTTGTCACCCACCTACCAACCCTAGCAACAGGCCAGGGAACCTCTCACAGCCAGCTGACTTGTTTGAACTGTGACCTTTGCTTTTAATGTTTTTACTGTGCTTTCCATTTTAACTGTATTGATTGTATTATTGACACGATGTTATCCGCCCTGAGCCCGCTCACGGGATGGGCAGGCTATAAATACAAATCATAAATAAAAGAAAGAAAAAATGGGATCTTTCCCTTGATCACCGTCACAGCAGCACCCAAACTGATTTCAGTTACCAGACCCAAATGCCTTTTGAGTTCTTATCAAAATACATGAGGAAAAATTGTGCCTGATCTTGGCAAGAATACAAAAAGATTGCTGCTAAAGTTCACTGAAATATACAAAAGATGTTCAGTAGAAAATTCAACTTTTCATGATGTTATTTAATTCTTGTTTCCAACAGGTGCCAACAAGATGCACAGCACAGGAACAGGACGAACACTTCTCGAGTGTATCTGCGTTCGTTTCGAGATATATTCTTTATCAAACTTCACTTTTCAATGATCTTCACACAGTTTAAATGATCTCCACACAGTTTAAATCACCACAAGGGTATCCATACATTCAAATTGGCTCACAAGGCTCCTATACACAAAAGTTCTTTACCATCGAAGTCGATGGTAAAGAACTTTTGTGTATAGGAGCCTTGTGAGCCAATTTGAATGTATGGATACCCTTGTGGTGATTTAAACTGTGTGGAGATCATTTAAACTGTGTGAAGATCATTGAAAAGTGAAGTTTGATAAAGAATATATCTCGAAACGAACGCAGATACACTCGAGAAGTGTTCGTCCTGATCTTGGCAAGAAGCAAGAGAAGTGAAGGCTAGCGTGGCCACTTGCCACTAAATCAGATTAGGTCAGTCAGTGGGGTCTTGTCATCTTCTTTGGGACAGGAAGGGATCACACTCTTGCCTTTCCCCCACTTCCTCATGCATTCATTAGGAATCGGTCTGGCAGTGCCTGAATGTCTCACATTCTGTCATGAAGCAGATATTTTATTTAATAGTATCTGATTGCCTTATTCCGATATCTGGGGCAGCAGCCCTTTCTGCCTGGCTTTGCTGCATTCTCTTCCCGACAGAATCTTTCTCCTCCCCTCTCTCTGGTTGGTTGGCTGCAGATAAATGGAGGCAACAGCCTCCCCTATGTACATACTGCACTGGCCTAAAAACTGCAGCAGAGATGCATCTAATTATAACCCCCTCTCTGGGATTAACTCTTCCTTGCCCTGGATAAGAAGACTCAACACACAGGCGAGCTAGCCACCACCCTCTTGCTTTTCAGACTGGGTTGGAGTTGGGGGATTGTGTCTCTCTTACCTAAGCACTGCCTTCTCTTTTTAAGGCAGTTTGGGTTGGGGCCATATAAAAGACCGTATTGCCAGGACCTGTTTGCAATATAGGAAGGGGGACTCGATCGTGGTCATATAGTAAACCTACAAAGCTGCCTTCTGCTGAGTTAGTACAGTCTGTAGATCGCTCAGCATTGGCTGTCCAGGGTGTCCAGTCTCCAGGGCCGCCTGGTACCTGAGAGCCTTTAATTGGGGCACAGCCTGGGACGTTCTGTGGGTGAAGCGTGTGCTCATCCACAACATTGCTGTCCCTAATCTAAATCCCAAGCACTGGGCGAGTGTCTTCTTTTGGCTAGGTGCTATAAGGGCACGCAGGACTGATTTTCACGTCATGACAAACGGACAAATACCTTCTTAGAAACCAGTATCCTGTAACACCTCCTGGTGCATCAGCGATAAGGGGTTCTGTCTCAATCAGAGGTATGATCGATGATTCTGCCTCATCCGTGTGCATGGCTCTTCTGATCTCTGCACAATATTCAAGGGACATTTTATTACCCAGGTGCAGGTAAGATGGGTCTTGAGGTCCCTTTCTGCTTTAAACTACTCCACGCTGAGCCTCTGCTTTGGAACGCCTTTCAGTCTCTCTGATAAGCAGCTTCTGAGAAGGGTGGCCAGAAGAGTGGAATGGGCTCAGATCCACAGTGTATGGATGACACTGGATCTGTTTTGTACCCTTCATGTTACACGTTGTCCCTTCTGCTTCCAGATCCCTAGCTTAGGCTCCCTACCCCCCCCCCCCCCCCCCCCACAGCCACAGACGAG